ACTTTTTTTAATCTAATCACCTTTCTACTAAATCCAATATGAAAATAATTCAATTATTTCTAATTTCATAAATATAACTTCAAATTGAAAAAGCTTTATATCATAATATAGATCTCGATTAATAGAATTAATAAATAAATTATAAATAATTTCGATTCAAAATTTATTAAATTAAAAATAATTAAATGAAATAATTTTTTGAAGATTCAAAAGCCTAAAAACTATATCAAAATAATCATTTCATTCAACTATCTTCAATTTACTAAATTTTGAATTAAAACTATTTAAATTTTATTTCTTAATTCTATTAATTAAGATCTATGTTATAATATCAATGTTTTTCAATTTGAAGTTATATTAATTGAATTGAATTTTCCAATTTGAAAAGATTAATTAAATAATATTAGAAAAGGTACTTTCTTTTAATATATATTATAAAATCGAGTATATAGTCAGTATTTATTTTCATTAAAATATTATTAGAAACTAATTCGTTCCTCCTATATTTTAATCTCATTCTATAATTTAATTTTTATACTCTATCTCTTTCTTATATTTCTTATATTCTTTTTTTCTATTTTTCTATTTTTCTATTTTTCTATTTTTCTATTTTTCTATTTTTCTATTTTCTATTTTTCTATTTTTCTATTTTTCTATTTTTCTATTTTTCTATTTTTCTATTTTTCTATTTTTCTATTTTTCTATTTTTCTATTTTTCTATTTTTCTATTTTTATAGTTTTCCCCTTCCCTCCCCCTTTTAATCTTCTACATCTCTCTCTTACCCCTCTCTCAATGATCATCCACTCAATAAACCATCCCTCCCCTCTATCCACCCTCCCCTCCTCTTCCCCTCCTCTCCTCTTCCCCTCCTCTTCCTTTCTTCTTTCCCTTCTCTTCCCCTTCTTTTCCCTTTCTCTTCCTCTTTTCTTCTCTTCCTTTTCCTCTTTTTTTTTCTCCTCTTTCCTTTTTGTATGGACAAGGGAATTCACTCAAGGGAATTCACTTCAAGGGAATTCACTCAAGGGAATTCACTTCAAGGAAATGACTTTAATACAATAGTAATTGTATTAAAGGTATTTAGGTGAAAGTAAAGAAAACTAGTTCTTTTAATAGTGTCTATATAAGGCCTACTATTTCCCTTATTAGCTAGCTCCTTAGATTGAATACAAATAGATATTTAGGGGTCTACACATAGTGGGAACCACGTCTTCCGTATCTCTCTCAAACCAACACTTTTTCTTTCCCTCCTCTTCCCCTCCTCTTCCCCTCCTCTTCCCTCCTCTTCCCCTCCTCTTCCCCTCCTCTTTCCCTCCTCTTCCCCTCCTCTTCCCCTCCTCTTCCCCTTCTTCCCCTCCTCTTCCCCTCCTCTTCCCCTTCTTCTCCCCTCCTCTTCCCCTCCTCTTCCCACCCAACTCCCCAACCCCCCAAATCTCAAAAAATCACTAATTATCATCTCCCTGAAAGAAAAAAAAGTAAATAGATAAATAAATAAATAAATAGAAAAAAGACATCCTACAGAGAAACATCACCATACATGAAAAATATGACGTGATAAATAGAAAATCTTCGTTTTAAAATCTACCAGACAGCCAAGCGAGACAAGTCTCGAATATACATATACATACATATAGACATGTATATGTACAATTCAACTTTGACCTCTGCCCTGCTTGAAAACTCGAACTAATGTACGATGATATAACACTTCGCTTCACCACATCTATCATATCAAATCCACTGAAATCTTCATCACATTTCATTATCCCCTCATCCCCTCATCCCCCAAAACCTTTCACAAAGTCCCTCCCAAAACCCCACAGTCCATCTTAACTAATCTATCCAGCATGTTCAACAATCTCACTCTTAACCTTCCCGTTCTCCACCCAAGTCCTCAACTGTTCAGGCAGAGGTACCTCCTTGTAATCTCCTTCACCATCTGCACTTTCCAAATCTGGGAGTAGGACATTAACACTACTACATTTACTCGTGAAGACCTCCGTGTTCAAACTCTCCTTTCCCAAGTAAATTTGAGCACCATCAACTTGATCCATCATAATAGTTGGCAACGTGCCTAATACTTGAAGTGCAAAGTTTGGTGCTTTGATAACATCAATCGATGAGACGAGACTATCAATTACCAAGGCAAGACGAGGGGAGTTATCAATAGAAATTGCGTTTGCTTTTCCTTTGATGATAATGGTAGTTTTTGAGCAGCGAGAAATGAGGATTGAATGTGAAATAGACGCTTCAATTGTGATTGGCTCAGATTCATTTTCGTAGTTTTCCTTTTCCGGAATGTTAGTACATAACTACTCCCAATCAAACAAAATAGTAACTCACAATAAACCACTTGTTACCCTCCAATTTTTTCACAGGAGGCTTCTTAGTTCTCATACTCTCTGGCTTAGGTTTTTTACCAGGAGCAGGGCTCTTTCCTCGGTTCGAACTAATACTGGATTGACTATCACTTCTAGTAGGAACTGTAGCACCTGCTCTCAAAGAAGGGTTTTTATGTGTCATTTGATCAGCATTCACTTTGCGCAATCCTTTTGTGACATCTGCTCCTTTATTCAACTCGGAGAAAACGGCTCCAAGTCCAGCACTTGAATCTGCTTGTTTTGGTGCTGGCTTTGATGGAATGTCATCGAAAACTGGTGGTGGAGGAGGAGGAGGTGGTGGTGGTGGTGCGGCTCCTCCGGCAGTTGCAGCCTTTGGATGAGGAGCTGGAGGGGCTGGTGCCTTTTGATCAACATCCTTAATCGCAACTTCCAAATCTTCACCCTTTGGATTCCATGGAATACCATTTGGAAAGTTATCCTTAGCATATTCGCTAAGATCTTTAAAGATTTGATAAAATGCTTGAATCCATTCGACTTGTTTTGGGTCTCTGTAAGTAGAAATTAATGACCATCTCCAATTATCAAATTAAAAATGACCTACTTCTCCTTGAATTCCTTCAATACTCTATTCCCGTAGTATTGAGCAGATCCCAATGATTCATCAACATGCTTGTATGGTTTGTTATCCATTGTAACCCAAGCAAGTACACCAATACTTTCAGAAACTGCACTGAGATGATTGAAAAATGGCGATGCGCGATTTGACTTTCGGATATCATCAACAGCAGTAAATGAATCCTGGAGAGGTTTGATGAGCTTCTGGAATGGTTCATCTTGCATGCCAGGTTTCTTTGACTTTGTAGTAATCAAAATATATCTTCGTTGTCCGACATATGCCTTCAATACACTAGACGCCTTTGATAAATAAGTTAGCCTCCATTTCCTATCACTTAATTAAATGACGCTCCGCTGGCTCTCCGAGGGCCGCTGCCGCGGAGGCAGACTATTTGCATGGAAAATCGTCGAGCGCAGCGAGATATGGGGGTTTGGGGGCCTGCCCCCATAATGACACTTTCCATCAATCAACCACTCAACCAATTGATGTAGAGATTCCCCCATACTTCCCCACTCACCCCTGCCTCTGCCGTGAGAATAGAATATTCGAACATGAGATGCCCCTCTCTCACTCCATCTTATGCCATGCGTGCATTTGACCACCCCCGCCGTGCCACGAAGAAAACAATGAGACCCTTGAACCTACCTGTTGCGCAACAACCCCTCCAATTTCATCACTCAAGTTAACATATTTCTTAACCGCCCCCTGAATAAAATTGTCGAATTCCGAGACTACTCCTGGGATTGGATCCTCGATGATCTTTTTGATGTCTGGTGTTTGGATTGTTGGTGGCGGAGCTGTACCATTCGTTTTCGCAGCTTCGACCGGAGGAGAAATTAGAGGGATGGAAGACGAAGGAGGTGGAATGGTAGAGGAAGCTATATCTTCAAGACGAGAGGTTGCGGCTTCGAGTCTGGAGATTATGAAGGTTAGCTCGGTGCTGGTTATGCGAGGATCGATTGATGACATGTTGGTTTAGTTTCCAGAAAAGAATTGGGATGTGTGTGTAAATAAATGTATGTAATGGAGATTCTGGAGGTAGATGGAAGTGGAGTTGTGTTGTAGTATTGAGTTGTGATTGTGATATTGAAAGGACAGAAATATGAAGCACAATTACCGTTTTATGAGCGTAGTCAAATTATGCATATTATTTACAGCTTCAGGTTGTTGAGACATATTGAAGTGCAGGAATTGTTCCAAATTCTTGTTGAAGAAGGAATGATCGATCGAATAGGAGGTTGTTTGAGAGAATGGAGCTGTCTGATTCTCGATGTTTCGTGGTGCTAATGCAAGGGGAAGGAGGGAAAAGGTTGCTAATTACGCATATAAATACTGTAATACTGTAATATTGTAAAATTGTAATATAGGATGGTAATTAGTAGGTAAATTAAAGAAGCTGTTAATTCACCAGATTGGTATGGAGCGACGAGAAAGAGAAGGAGCCCTTATACAATGAAGCAGACAAGGCGAGAGGGAGTGAGAGGAAGAAGAGGAGGAGGAATGGTATGGATGCAAGAGAGAGAGTATTGATGTGATGTGATGTGAATGATGTTCTTCATTTGTTAATTCATCTACCTAATAAATCCACGCAAGCACTTTTACACCCACTCACAGTTCAAGCTTCACTCCCTCCCCTCCTTCATTTAGATGCCTTACCCTTACCCGTTTTTCCGACTTCTTCACGTGCTGGTGTCCTCAGGAGACTAATTACATAATCCAGAAATCATCCAAGCATAGGTAGGTAGGTAATCTGATATATACAATGATACAAGGCTGCATACAAGGCTGCCGCTAACCCGTTTTGTGCCGTGTGACACCTGGCTAACATTTGATGGGCGAGTGGTGAGGGGCTGCTGTCACTTCATTTGACATTCAGCCTTATCTGTTGACCTAGTCCCTACCTATTTCTCTGCTCGTACACTCATTTCATTTCTTGACCTCATTCATTCATTTATTCAAGGGGAGAAAGCTACCAACACCTAGGTATACAATTCATACCTCACTTCTTTCTTTTACCTTCATTCATTATACATTCATTTGAAATATGGACCAAGATGATCAAATATCTAACGATCAAGAAATCGATTTTTGTACTCTGGGAATGTTTATAATTGGTATGTATAAAGTGGTGTTTACTGAGGTATCTTTCGTATTGTTTTGGGGGGAGGAGAGGAGAGGTTCATCAATTCCAGAACAACTTGAGAAGTCTCGGATTCTTGAAACATGTGGAAGAATAGGCCAAAGTCGACTTAATGTTCATGAATTGATACTTTATTTCTGTCTCTATCTTATATCTAGTGATATTTAAATTCTACATGGGATTGTTTTCTATTTCCAAGTAATAACTGTTGGCAAGATTCGTGAAACGGTTGGGATGTTTATGTTGTTCATGCATGAGGTACATGCTTTAGATTTGGTCTTACCAAATTTAAGTCTTCAACCACAACATAGATACCGTTGGAGCTGCATCAGGAGCTCATGAAACTTCTTGTGAAAGAAGAGATGTATCGGTATTTCCAAACCTCATTTGTTTCAAGAATGGGCGTTACGATTTCTTATCCGGTTTTCTCCGGTATTTTACCTTCATATTCAGGGATGATATATCTAACAAGATAACCATCATCATACTTTGTTTTCTCACGTACCAACTTCTCGTCAAATTCCGTCTTGATATATATATATTAATATTTCAATGTAGATGAGATACACTACCTCCCACCAACTCCCTCAGTGTATGATGTCCTGGGTGGTGCCGGTTCCTATTCCGCCTTAGGAGCCCGTCTCTTTTCTCCTCCACCGCTCTCCAAAACAATCTCTTGGATAGTAGATAAAGGCTCCGATTTCCCCCCCTCAATATCATCTCAAATAACCACCTGGCAAACCTCTTGTCTAATCCGTACCGATCCCACCCGTCTCACAACTCGCGGCTGGAATGGCTACGACAGCAACGAAACCCGCTCATTCAAATACACAACCCCAAAACTTCGACTGGACGAATCATCTATAGCTTCTCATCCTCCTCTCTTATTCGCAAAATCTTTCCATCTCATATGCTCCCCAAATCGCTGTATAGATCTTGTAACACGCATTCTCTCACTTCGAAAATCACATTCGCCCAATCATCCCAAACCACTTATCATATGGGAACCAGTCCCAGATCTTTGTACACCAGACGAGCTTTTAAATTGTACAAATGTCCTTCCATATATCGACGTTCTCTCACCAAATCACTCGGAACTAGCAGGTTTCATGGGCGATCCTGATTCTGGTATGACTCCTGAAGGAGAAATATCCGTGGAAGCAGTAGAACGTTCTTGTGAACAACTCTTATCTTCAATGCCATTGCAATCTTACGCAATCGTTGTAAGATGTGGAGCATTAGGATGTTATGTTGCGAAGAACGGAGGAAGAAATAGACGTGCGGAGAAAAACCGAAGAAAACGTCCGGCAAATAGATCTAGAGGTGGCTTAACACTAGATATGAACATGGAAGATTTGTTCGCAGGATTGCTTAGTGATTCTGGCGAGATTAGCTTCGAAAGAAACGACTATGTTCCTGTCGACCCGGGGATTGAGAAATGGATTCCGGCTTATCATCAAGCTGGAGAGGGGGAGGAGGAGCATAAAGTGGTAGATCCGACGGGAGGTGGAAATGCATTCTTAGGTGGTTTGGCAGTTGCGTTGGCAAGAGGAAAGGGAATTATAGAAGCTAGTTGTTGGGGAAGTGTAGCAGCTAGTTTTGCCATTGAACAGGTGGGGGTACCGGTCCTGGGTGTTCTGGAAGAGACTGAGGGGACAGAAGGAGAGGAAGATGACTGGGTGGAGGAAGTAGATGGAGAAGAGGATGAAGATGATACAAGGGAAATGGAAACGTGGAATGGAGTAGTGGTTCAGGAAAGATTGAGGGAGTTTATGGGGAGAGTAGATATTGCGCCTAGTGAATGTCCATCTAGGTAGATGAGCTGGCGCCCGTTTTTCGGAAAATAAATGCAGGGAAACTGGTATTGGGGGAAAGGAGGGGAAGAGAAAGGTCGAATTTCAAAATTGATGCAGGAAAGACAGAAATCAAAAATAACCTTAATTAGAACTACATTCTACTTCGCTTATATATAATCTTATCATGTACATATTTCAAATTCTCACTTCCTACCTACCTGCCCTGATCTGATTTTCTGGGGGGAGTCTTTTTGTTGTGTGCAATGGCATGGTGAGATTTAAATGTGATGTTTGAAACCAGAAGATTGGGGATCGTGTAGTGCGGCTCGTTAATCTGTCGGTACAAGATGAGGAAGCAAGGGAAGGAACCACGTGATACCAAAAACCACTTTACGCGCACAACCGTGTTTCCACGCGATATCTCCTTTTGAATTGAAATTTCGCGATTGTCAACACCACAGCAACCCCATACCGCCCCTCTTTAACTTCAACAACAAACCACCATACATATTTTCAGGTTAAACCTTAAAACCACGCCTGTACATAACCTGATATACTCTCTAACATGGACGGCGCACAATTAAGAGATGAGGCTGTCGCCGATCGTGTGCGGTCTGCACAAGAATTTCTTGATCCAAGTATTTTTTCCTGTCAATCCTCTCTATTTACCTACAAGTACTAATATAAATAATCACAGCTGATGGCGCCGCAAGAAGTTATCGATCCGAAATTACTGATATGCTTCGAAAGCATCAACGACGTTTGATCGTCAGTATCGATGAAGTTCGTGCACATAATCCTGAATTGGCAAATGGCCTTCTCGAACAACCATTTGATTTTGCCCAAGCCTTCGATCGCGCACTATTTCAAATCGTACAAACACTTCCAAATACCAATGCTAAACAATCTTCTGAAGATACTATGTACTATTGTGCCTTTTCTGGTAGTTTTGGCCAATTTGCATGCAATCCCAGAACGTTATCGAGTACGCACTTGAATAGGATGGTTAGTTTGGAAGGGATTGTCACAAGATGTTCATTAGTGAGGCCAAAGGTGGTCAAGAGTGTGCATTACAATGAGAAGAAGAAGATATTCCATTTCCGTGAATACAAGGATCAAACAATGACTGCGAGTGGAGCCGGTACGTCGAGTGTTTATCCACAGGAAGATGAACAGGGCAATCCGCTGGTTACGGAATATGGATACAGCACATACAGAGATCATCAAACGATATCTATTCAAGAAATGCCGGAACGAGCACCGGCAGGACAACTTCCAAGAGGTGTGGATGTTATTTTAGATGATGATTTGGTTGATAAAGTTAAACCTGGTGATCGAGTACAGCTTGTTGGAATTTACAGGAGTTTAGGAAATAGGAATGCGGGACATAGCAGTGCGCTTTTTAAGACGGTGGTATTAGCTAATAATGTGGTTCTTTTATCTTCGAAATCAGGGGGAGGCATTGCGACACATACCATTACCGATACCGACATTCGAAACATCAACAAGATTGCAAAGAAGAAGAATCTTTTCAATCTTCTTTCTCAATCATTAGCACCAAGTATCTATGGGCACGAACATATCAAGAAAGCTATTCTTCTCATGTTATTGGGTGGTCTGGAAAAGAATCTCGAGAACGGAACGCATTTGAGAGGAGATATCAATATCCTTATGGTTGGTGATCCATCCACAGCCAAATCTCAAGTTCTTCGTTTCGTGCTCAATACCGCCCCACTCGCAATTGCGACAACAGGTCGAGGTTCTTCCGGTGTTGGTCTCACGGCCGCCGTTACTTCCGATAAGGAAACCGGTGAACGTCGCCTCGAAGCTGGTGCTATGGTTTTGGCTGATCGCGGTGTGGTATGTATTGATGAATTCGATAAAATGTCCGACATAGATAGAGTTGCCATTCACGAAGTTATGGAACAACAAACTGTCACTATTGCCAAAGCTGGTATTCATACCTCTCTCAACGCCCGCTGTTCCGTCATCGCAGCCGCCAATCCTATCTTCGGTCAATACGACACTCACAAGGACCCTCACAAGAATATCGCTCTTCCAGATTCCCTGCTTTCTCGTTTCGATTTGTTATTCGTAGTAACAGATGATATTGATGATTTCAGAGATCGACAAATATCTGAACACGTTCTAAGAATGCACAGATATAGAGATCCACAGACCGAAGAAGGAGCCCCCGTTCGTGAACAAGCACATCAAACACTCGGTGTAGGTGTTGAACAAGAAGCAGATGCCAACCAAGTCACACCTGTCTACGAAAAGTATAACGAGATGTTACACGCCGGTGTGACTGTTACTACTGGCCGAGGATCACATCGCAGGGTCGAAGTTCTCAGCATACCTTTCATGAAGAAATATATTCAATACGCCAAAACTCGAGTAAAGCCAGTCCTAACCCAAGAAGCTAGTGATAGAATTAGCGAGATATATGTAGCGCTAAGAAATGACGACATGCAAGGAAATCAACGAAAGACAAACGCCATGACAGTTAGAACATTGGAAACCATCATCCGTTTGAGTACTGCGCATGCAAAGTCTAGATTAAGTAATAGAGTTGAGGAGGTAGATGCATTGGCTGCTGAGAGTATTCTGAGGTTTGCACTGTTTAAAGAAGTGCTTGAGGATGAAAAGAAATCAAAGAGAAGAAAGACTAGACCTCTTGAAGATGAACCTTCCGGAAATGAGAGTTCATCCTCGGATGATGATGATTCACCAGCTCCTACCTCTCATGCACCATCGACGAGAGCAACTCGCACACCAGGTACTGCAAGAACGAGAGCTTTAGGCACTTCTTCATCTCGAAGAAATGGTGCGACTCCAAGCGGGGCGCCAAATGATGAGGAGGAGGATGATCTGTATTCAGCCAGTCCAGCACGTCGTCCAGCCAGAGCATCCTCAAGTCGCGTACCAACACAATCCCAAACTTCTTTCGCTTCTTCCTTACCGGCTTCTCAGGCATTGAGAGGTACTTCGAGTCAATCGCAGTCTCAATCACAGAATGTAGAGGAGGGTGATGAAGAAGAGGAACTTGCAGCTGGAACTGCAGCTCTGAATGTCTCGACAGGTATTACACCTAACCGTCTACAAGTCTTCCGCACGACGATGGGTCAAATGATGAATACATCTCTGTTTGAAGATGATAGTGCCGAGGTCAATGCTATTATCGAGGCGGTCAATCGACGTATTGGAGGTGGTGCAGGAGGTAGTTTTGAGAGGGAGGAAGCAGTAGCCGCGCTGAGAGCAATGGATGAACGAAATGATATCATGTATACCGAGGGAGATTTGGTTTATAAAATCTAGAGTTTGGGAAAAAAGGAATAAGGGATGTAGATGGAATGGAATGGAATAGAATTTCTGTAGGGAATACATGGAAATGAGATAATGAGGAGCTGAGTAATTGATCTTAATCTTGATCTGATCTGAGTGATTAATTATTGATATATCCCTAACATATAGGATTTAAAACACGATTCATAACTAAAAGCTAATTAATCGAGAAAAAGTATAGATGCTTTATAAATAAATATAAACATATTTAAATTCAAGAATCAATAAATCAATCAATAAATTAAAAGTAGAGAATTTATAAAACAAAATCGAAAAGGATTTTAAGATTCTATAAATGAAGAGCTTTTTAATAAGATATTTTTTATATTAATAAATTAAAATTAATAGAAGAAACATTTAATTAAAGAATAAATTAAAGAGATTATAAAGATTTAAAGATTTTAAAGATTTAAAAGAATTGATTAAATGATTCTGATTGGTTCGGAGGTTTGAGATTTGCGATAAGAGAGATGAGGAATTAGAAAGAGGAGGGAATTAGAAAGAGGAGGGGATTAGAAAGAGGAGAGAGAGGGGGAGGGGGAGAGGGATTAGTATAAAAGAGTAGAAGGTAATAGAGTCATAAAGTAGTCCTTTGTAAATACTACAAATAAGTTATTAAAATATAATGTTTTTAGTAAAGAAAAGAAGGAATAAGCTTTATATAATATATTATAAAATATATAAGAAAATAAATAGGAATTAATTACTTTCTTTAAATTATATAAAGAAGATTTATAAATATTAGTTACAGAAAGAGGTTATGTGATTAGTACTAAGTTTCGCTTATATTAGATTTAAGAGATTTAAGAGATTTAAGAGATTTAAGAGATTTAAGAGATTTAAGAGATTTAAGAGATTTAAGAGATTTAAGAGATTTAAGAGATTTAAGAGATTTAAGAGATTTAAGAGATTTAAGAGATTTAAGAGATTTAAGAGATTTAAGAGATTTAAGAGATTTAAGAGATTTAAGAGATTTAAGAGATTTAAGAGATTTAAGAGATTTAATAGATTTACAGTGACCGTGCACTTCTACTTAGTCGGTCTCAAAAACACACTAAAAAAAGCTATTTTATTACTTTTTAATAAATAGATTATTATTCTTTTAAATAATTTTATTATATTATAATTCAAGAAATTAATAATTTATAAATTAATAAAATTGAATATAAAATCTAACATTATTTAAAATCTTGATAAAATATAATACATATTTTTAAAATCTTAATATCAAAAAGTTCTTGAAAACTCGCTTATTTTTGCTGTAAATTTTAATTGTCAGGGAGCAATCACCTGACAGGGTTTATATAGTAGATCCACTATTCCGAACGTATTCGGAATACTCTATACTTTTGTAGGTTAGTAGTAAAATGGATCAACTCTAATATTATGTTCCGAATATAAGGGTATCTTATTCTGAGCTTTTTATTCGGTAAATCTAAACAAGAATAATCATACTTTAAATTCAATCTCGATGATTAGTTCAGCTGCAGCTATTTCATTTCTAGTATTCTATATTTATAGATTTATATTTATAGGGAGCTAGTTCTTTTCTAATTAGTACCCAATAGGTCTATACAAAACAAGAATAAGTGTTAGGAAACAATTACCTAACAGGGTTTATATAGTAGATCTACTATTTCGAATATATTCGAAATACTCTACGCTTTTATATGTTAGTAGTAAAGTAGATTAACCCTAACATTAATAATCTAAAATCTTGAAACTTTAAATCAATATTTTTTAATAAATAAATTCTTTAAAAATAATTCGAATAATTTTTATAAAATAATATATAAAAGATAATATAAAAGTATATTTTTTTTTCAATAAATATATAATTTTTATTAAAACTAGATATATTTAGATAATGAGTTTTGGTACAAAATAGCTGTCGACTAAGTAGAAGTGTCCTAGTACTGTAGTAGATTTAGTAGATTTAGTAGAATAGTAATTTCTTTTTGTAAATTCTAATTTAGATTCTAATATCGAAAAACGTCCAAGTCAATTCTGCCTCAGGCACACATACTCCTGCTTACAAATGCGCCTCCAAATACACTTTCATTAATCCTTTCAATTCAATCAATTGATTCCACTACTAGTATAGGGCGTATCCTAAAACTAATCAGCGCATTCGAAAGCTCTCAATTGTTTTAATGTAATTACTTCTTTTCCGATCGAATTTTCCTTTCTTTTAGGGTTGTATACTGGATTGAAGTAGTTTTGTAGTCTTTCGTGAGCTTTCCCTCTAACTTTCCCTTTCCACCACCCGGCTGGAAAAACTAAGTTCACCCCTGCCCGGCCGGAATAACTAAGCCCCAACTAATTAAAACTTTCGCACATTACTTATAACCAATCAGAAGGGGTTTTATGGTCGCGTATTATGAAAATGACCTGGTTATAGAGTAGAGATAATTCTGCTTGTGTAATATGCTATAAATCAATCTTCGTTAATTCTCCGAATCTAATATATCTTATATATCTAAAAAGAGTAGATATCTTATTACAATATTATATCAAAATATTAACAAAAATGGTTTGTGAAATTGAAATTTTCGAAAAAAATATAAATATAGATATGTATTTGATTTTGAATAAATAAATATTAAGAGATTTAATCTTAACTCTTTAAATTCTAATATAATAAAATAAAATAAAATAAAAGAATTAAAGATTTGTAAAGGGCACTATATACAGATGTTGAATCTAAGTAAATGAGTAGGTAGATGTATCTGGGATATTATGTCTGGAATATTATATTAGTTACTATGTATATGGGTATAGAGTATAAAGTATATAAAGAGTATAAAATATATAGTATATTAGTTAAATAGATAGGTAATAAAAAAACTCAGAATATAGGACGCGGTTTATAGGATATTGAGGACAGGAGATGTGGTTGGGGGGGGTTGGCGGGGGGTGTTGGGTGGAGGATGTTGAGTCCTGGATTGGGTGAAGTGAGGTTTGAATTTGGGGGAGGGTGTTGGGTGAAGTGGGTTAGATGGTATAGATGGTTTGAACGGCTTTTGATGGGTTAAAAGTTTAAATGGGTTGAATGGCTTTCGAAGGGTTAAAGGTGTAGTTTACTAGTAACTGTGTGGTTGGACGTGTTGAGTAAGAGATGGGGGGAGGGATGGGAGTGGGAGTGGGAGTGGGAGTGTAAATACGGCAGGGGAGATAAGAGGAACGACATCTGCTTTTTGAGGGGAGGGGAGAGGTGGAAGGGGCCAGGGAGGGTTTCGAGAGATTTTATTTTATGTTCGAGAGTTCTTGTATTCGAAATGCATTTTATGATTTGACTTCTGAATTAGGTGAAGTGATTCAAGCTTAAGCAAGCTTACTATACATTGTGTAGTGATTTTGATTAATTAAAGTTCGGATGATATGATTGAAATTTATATCATCGGAAGCATTGAAGAAATAATATATAAAGAGGGGAAAGGGGTGCGCGGATTGAGCTCTCTCGCTTCCGAGTGCGCTCCTTTGCTTATGAGTTTCAGACGCTGTGTGTATTTAATACCTTCTATAGAGATTACAATCATAAGTTCCAGACTCTGTATGCAAAGCACGCATTCTATTCAAATGACAAATATCACGTGGTCGTTGAAACTCACCCAGCGAATGGAATGACTAGTGATATCGTCAAGACTCATATGGAGATGTGACTCCAGATCGAGATTTCCTCGATGAATGTTTTGTTTCTTGTAGGCGAGCCGGATTTACTTAGTCTCGTGGATTCGCTCTTTTTTTTCTTTTTTCTTTTTGATTTGTACACCGATACGCCAACATAACAATACTTAAGATACCTATCAAAACTCAACACATCAATACTCAACATACTAAAATACATCGAACCTCACACCTTCAAGCATCATGTCCCATAAAAACCAACGAGCCCACTCCTCCTCCTCCACTTCCACCCCCTCTACCTCTACTCCCTCCGCCTCCACCTCTCCCCCCAAAAACTTTTCCGAAGCGTTCGAAGATAAGATCAGAATATTCGAATCAGAAGTCGCACGTTCAGCCTTGGTCACCGCGAAATTTCGCAAAATTGACGAATGTAGACCTGAAATCAGCCCACCATTTCTCATCATCTATGAAACTTTAATGCAAATCCTGACTGCAGACTGGTTCGAAGAACAAGAAGAGCGTCTTAAGATACGGGTACGCAAGGTTTTGAAGGATACTCTGGGTTTGCAGGTAGCCACTGATTGGGATGGAGCGGAAGCTGCTATGCACAAATATAATCTTAGGCCATTTTTGGATTAGGGGGGATAGAGGGGTTTGAGATGGTTTGGTGATTTGATGATTTGGTGGTATGGTGGTATGGTGGTATGGGTTATTGGATTTTGAAGAACTTTCCTCGGGGTTATTGAGATTAATGGAAGTTGGAATGCAAGGGAACGGGAAGAGAGGAAATGGAGGAAGCGTGATTTTGAAACTGCGGTAGATGCACTTTTATCAGCTGATAATAGAAATATCCTGTGGTTTATTTGATTTTGCATTGCTGGTTTTTATGTGTGTGTGTGTGGGTGTGACTGTTTGTTTGTGAGTGATGATAATGTAGTCTTTATGACTGCTTTATAAGGATAAGGATGAGTAATAGACTTGGAGGTAATCGCGTTAGTCACAGAGAATGACTGACTTGTGCTTTAAGGCGGCGATATAGAATCAGCACACGCGAGATTCGGATTATCTAAAGTGATAGATGTACCAATGAGCACATATACAGGTCTGTGGATAAATTTCGATGGTACTTAACAGTTAGGAACGGAATTTTTCAATGAGGTCTCGAAGAAGCGAGGTTTAGATTAGAAGCACTCGGCTCCAGTCGTTAGCTAGGACTTCACGAATAGAGCATCTCCATTGACCAACCATCACAATGCGATCCTCTGTATCACAAATTCAATAACTCAATAACTTGAGAGACCCCCGAGATTAGTGATGAATATCTCAAGCTAAGAACTAAGATAATAGATATCACCGAAGAACACTTTAACACACATTATATTGAAGAGCATACAGACAATTTGATTGTAATCCTTCATGGAAAATCTGTCTTCAAACATTGAAATGCGATTGTGTGAACTGTGTTGATACAATGAACTCTCACTGTACAACTAACTCACTTCCAAATAATAGCCTAGGATATGACTGGACTGATCACCATACACTTCCATAGAAGTAGAGCTTGAGTGAAAAATCAACACATAACAAACGATTGGATAATCTCGACCCAGGAAGTGGAAAAAGAATGAACACGCATTGAAAATGAGGAGTAAACCATGGTGTGAGTTGTAAAATAGCAGCGTGAACTGATTGAACTATTCTATGAATAAGCTGCGCTACACGATTGCAGAGGGCATTTCGGTGCGAAAAGATACTATCCTCAAATATGTCCTACCTCGAGTACTAACCGCAGTAACCATTCTTCAAAATAGAAGCATTCGTACAATCATAGACAATATCAAACCAATAACACAGACTAGTTGCCGTTCGATCTGACAAGGTAGCTTTCCCTTTCCTTTCCGAATCTTCCCAAAATGTCATGTCATAGAACACATCAAACTCCAATGTGATAAGGAGTGCAATCATTGTTCTCGAAGTTGCCTATTCATTGTATGACGACCCAAATATGTACAATTCTTTCCTCATTCTCGAATTTAGTTTCCAGTGACCTTCTCTACCACACGATCGGTAATGCTCTTGTTCTTCTGTGCCTCGTGCTCCTTGATTTGTTTACTCCAGCTATAATCTTGTCAGTCACTGCCAGTCTTCCAATATCTTGCAGCCCTGAGCCCCGTCCTTGATTCCTCCGGCGTTCCCCAGTATTCTCCATACTCCCGTTTGTAATAGAAAATATAAACCAAACTCACTATCGACTTGGGAAAAACCTTCCCTCCTCCGGGAACTTCGTCCTATACTCTCTCTCCGCACTCAATTTCCACATTCCGGCAGTAATCCCGACAATGACAGTTGCCATGATCGCAGTATTCGCTTTCCAGTTACCAGGTTGCGAGTACCAACCTCCAGCTGGAGACCAGACATGTTTGGGATATCTAACGTCATGTTGTCAGATAATGTGCTTGGGCGGACTTGCTAATTTGAAGGTCGGTTGAAGTTTGGTGGAACTGAAGAACTTACGGAATTTTGCCGCCGCCGCCCTGGGATATTTGTTAGTATTTCCTGGTAGACATACTTGCGTGTAGAGGGGAAGAAGGAACACACCATTTTTAATCAATTGCGAAATGTGCGAGGGATTTCTTAAGGTATTTGATTCTGGTCAATTTTGACGATGTCGTTCCTCGTTCCTCAGATATCCAGTCCCCACTAACCGCAAAGGTACTAGTGCAATTAATATAGCATCACACACGAGCTTGGGCGAGAAATTTTGGAATTTGTTATCGAAATCGCCGGTCCAATTTCTATCCGCCACAATTACTCGATCATAATTCCTACACTCGAATTGGAAGTGTTGGAAAGGGGAATATAGGAGAAATGATGAAGAGGTTACATTTGGAAAGATGGAGCAGCCAATTGCTTTCTCAAAATACTAGATCAGTTTCTACTTGTCCGAGGCGGCATGCTCTAGCACAAAATCTTCTCCCAAGGACGACTTCGATACCTGCATATGTCCGTATGAATTCAACATCTACACTTGCTCCCAAATCAGAAGAAATCGTTTTTGAAGATGGCGAACAATCCCTCGAACCACCAATCCAGCAACCCTCCCCCAAAAAACCCTCCGCGAAAGTAGCAGCTCTCCACGCCCGTCTTTCTCTCCCCTCCAAACTACCCCTCCAAACACTCGCTCGAACCCTCATTACCCCCTCCGCAAACAACAACCCAGCTTTCAATAATGCAGGACTCTCTCGTATTGGAGGCGACCTCCTAAATTACCACGTCTCCGAATATCTTATTTGTACATATCCACGTTTACCATTGGCCGTTTTCTACGCAAGTGTTTTGGCATATAGTGGCCCTGATACTTTACATCTGGTTGGAAGAGATTGGGGTGTTCAACCTGCTTTTGCTCCTGGACAAGAAGTCGATGTTGGATTACTTCAATACAAACATTTGTCGCCCAATGGAGAGGCCGGTTCTACAGGGAAAACTACCAGAAAAGAGGCGCCTTATTTTAGAAGAGGAATGGCATCCAGAGTTGTCTACGATGATGAATTTGGAGACACGGTCAGGAAATCGAATCAAGTCACCAATCCTCAACCAATGAATAATGCCTACGCCTCTTTCGTTAAAGCACTCATTGGTGCAGTCTATCTCCATGCAGGTCGCGCAGCAGCAAAAACATTCATCGAACAACATATCTTATCCCGTCACCTGGATCTCGACAAATTATTCCAATTTTCCCAGCCAGTCCGCGATCTCACCCGTCTATGCGCACGCGAGGATTTCGAAGCACCAGTTGCTAGAATTCTGAGTGAAACAGGTCGACACTCTCGAAGTCCAGTCTTCGTAGTAGGAATTTATAGCGGAAGAGAAAAGTTGGGTGAGGCACCAGGTGCAAGTTTAAATGAGGCGAGAATTAGAGCTAGTGTTGCGGGATTAAAGGCTTGGTATCTCTATAGCCCAGGCCGTAGGTCGTTGCCGAGTGAAATGGAAATTCCAAGTGGAGGGAAAGAGGGAGTGAAGAGTTGGGAACCAGTGCATGTGGATATAGGAGAAATTATTGCTTAAGAGCTTCAATTGTATGATGTGGATGTGTATACGACGTGTGTCGATGAAATGAGCACATGCATGGAACGGAAGAAAGCAGAGAGGAAATTCTTACATTTCTCATCTTCATATTGATATAAATGAGGGGATATGATCAATAATATGATCTATTGTATATTACTATGCAGTTGCATACTGGGCGGGGGAAGAGGGGTAGGTGATGGTTTACAAATGCATTTGGATGGCGGGACTACAAAATAAAAGCCAAAAGATTTGAGAAGGAAACCAAGTGGACGTGTTGATACCTATAGAGTAAATCAGCAGCAAAAGAAAGAAAAAAGATCAAAAATCATTTTCAGCTCACTTGACGAATACTCATGATGTACGAATAAACAATGTCTCTACGCAATATATCAGTTATTCCTTCACGAATACAAACGGAAAGAAGAATTAATAATCCCTCAAACTTTCATCATACCTCATACACTTTCCCTCTTCCAATTCACAAAAGGTCCTGTCTCTCTGAAAGTTTCTCAATCATAAGTTTCCCTCTGCTCGGATAATGATCTATAAATACTACGTCAGGAAGTAAATGGCACGATGGACCGTCTACCTTAACACTTCCCCTTTTACTTCCTTTCGTTCTCTCCCCCTTCCCATCACAGATATCAACACCACCCCATCTCCATAATCTACCCACCACCTACCCAGCTATCCCATCCCATCCCACCTCAAAACAAAACCAAACAAAACAAAACCACACATACACTATACCCTCCGATCCTATTCATCCTCTATCCTATTCATTCTCCACATTACCTCACTATCTCTATCTCCTAAATAAATCTTAATACATAGGGTATCTTACATAGATAAACATATATAAACGTAGATAAATATAGAAACAAACTACAAGAGAATGATTAATCTTCCCATCCATTTCGACTCTGGAGAGAAATCATCACAATTACATCCACCATCCACATCCACCGTCCACAACCACCATCCACATCCACCATCCACAACTAACCCCCCCTCCCCCTCCTCAAAAAGCAAGTTGCAGAAATCAATACAGTATATAGGTATATACAGTGATTAAATAGGAAAGTAGAAGTAGATATCTTGTTGAACTTGACTTTTTGCATTTTGCTCTTTGCTTTTTGGGTCAGGTGGGAGCTGGTGGAGGCAAGAAAGAGAGGTTATAAGGTTAGGAAATGATAGATTTGTTTGTGTAATATAATAGTATAGTGATTGGGAGGGAAGAGCAAGGAAAGATAGTAGGGGATCAAAGTATCTCTAGAAATGAGAGATGGTCTGGGGGAATATGTGGATTTAGATCAAAGGATGAGGTTCACAGGTACCATTGGATAGTGTAGAAAGGAACGCGTGAAACTGAAGTACAGCCAGTTACGCTTCCATAAGTAAACAGAGGGAGCCTACCATGCATTCCGTTCAATTATGACAGCTTGATTAATCTTTCGAATGTAAATTTTATATTGTAAATTCTGTTCTCCTTTATCATTTGCCTTTAGCGAAATGAAAAGGCTTACAAACTCTCAGCTGTAATCGCTAAACCCCTTTGCCTATCAATTTTGGGTTTCTTCCCTCATTGCTTGCGCACTATTCCATCCATACACGCGTCATTCTTCAAAATGAAGTAAATGGCATCCCCATTTTTGTAAATCAGGGCTCAAATTTTTTACCACTCATGTACCAATATGCAATGACCATGCCGTGAAATCCATTGTACAAATGCACTATTGCATAGATGTCCCTCCCACCGAAAAAGAATAAAAACAATAAACTCGTAAACGCCCTTGAATAACCGTATCGTTTTGAGACGGGAAACGCAGAGATCAATGTAAAACTGGACCGGATATTATTTAAGCTGTGGCTGGGACCTCAGCTGCAGCTGCAGTCTTCTCTTTCTTATTTTGATGTTCATCGGCTCCTCCATCATCTTCTCTGGCTCTCTTTTTATCGTTTGTTGGAGGTGCGGCAGCGGTTTCTGTAGCAGATGCTTCGGTCTTGACTTCCTTGTCATCACTATTTGTACGTTAGTATATGATATGAAATAGAAAGATGAAAAGCATACCCGTTCTTCTCCTTGTTGCGATCATTGTTTCGTGGCCCACGATCATTGCGACCACCCTTTCTATCATTGCCATTTCCTCTTCCACCACGGCCACCACGGTTACGATCACCGCGTCCACCTCCACGACCACCTCGGAATCCGTTCTCTCTGTCGCTTTCACGTCTCTTCTTCCAGTCATTTGGATCACGGTCTCCATCGCCTTCCTCATTGCGCTCTTTCTTGACAAAATTTCCACCGCGACCACGGCCTCTGAAGTTTCCACGTCCTCCACGACCTCTGTGTTGACCTGGGACTAAAGTGCCATTTCTGATTTCTTCATTCTTTTCTTCCATATATTGAGTTTTGGATTTGATTTCCAAAACATGCTTTCCCTTCCATTGTGGCTTTGGGTCAAGAGCAAGGAATTTTTGAGCAGTCTCTTCATCCGCAAATTCAACAAAGACAGATCCCTTGAAAAGCTTTTCTTCGGTACGACGAAGACGGACAGAGTTGACCTCACCGTATGGAGCAACGAAAGCTTCGATATCGAATTGAGAACTTGGTTCCTCATCACCGAAACCCTTGATGTAAACTGATCGTGCCTCACGTTTTGGAGATTTGGCAGATGGATCGAAAGCCTTTACGCGCTTGACAGTCTCCTTTCCTTCTTCTCCTTCGACTGCAAGGAAATTGCTTTGCTTGAGTGCTTCGACGACCAAGGAGTATGGCTGGAATCGCTGCATGCGCTTGAATGAGTGGATAGTTGCGATCGGGACTGGCTTATTCTCTGCACCTCCAGTGGTCTTCATTAAGAATTGATCAGTTGGTAAATTGGAGTCACCGAAGTAGAATTCGACCTTCGCACAAAAGTAATTAGTAAAAATCTCCCGACATCAAAGCAATCATCTTACTTGTCGGCGAATTAATCCCATGTCATTAGATGCAGGGAGAACTGAAGCGTCATATTTGCTGTTGTTCTGACCGTGAACCTCATTGGCATTTGTCTTCAAAACTCCATTGTCGTAAAATCTTGGCTCGTCATAGTTGGACTTCTTGTCCTTCTTCTCATCTTCCTCCTCCTTCTTGACATCGCCATTGGTAGTCTCTACTTTCTCTTCCTTGGTTTCAGTTGTAACCTCAGCATCTTCCATCTTCTCGTCCTTGATTTCTGGCTCAATTGGTGCTGCTGCAGCAGTTTCTGATTCGATCTTTACTTGCTCGTTGGTAGTAGCTGGAGCTGCTGCGACTGGCTCTTGGCCTTCCATGTTGATATCAGACATGATCGTTTGCGAAAAGTTGTGCAACTAATGTATTTTAGTATGTGAAGGTAGCTAGAAAAACCGAATGAGTAATTGCGACAATGATTTATCAATTGAGACATACGGTAGATTGTTATTTTATTATCTAGATAGATAAAATCCGTCTTTAGTGACTCGATAAGGCGAACAAGGCGGGGTGAAGAGTCAGATAAAAAAAAGTGATGCGCGACCCTTGAAGAGGCAGACAATCTTTTGAGAGATGTTATCAAGTGAATTGATAAAGCTCACTGGAGATCGATCAAAGATATGAATGCTAAGTAAAAGTTTGTA